TGTCATATACTTTTGTACAGTAATGGAAAAAATATACATCCCGAGATACTGTTCATTGTTTGTATAATAAGCAGCAATGTGTACAGGCTGCATCTCAGAGCAATAAATCAATCCTGCAAGCACATCAATATCGCCAAGGGATATAGGTGCCCAAGAGGACTCTGGCCAAGATCTTCTCAGCAACCAGAGAATTGTCTTTTACTTCTTTAGGATGAATTACATTATATTTCTTGAAGTACAGGCTAATGTTCTCAGGCATGTGAATTATGATTACTTTCATCAAACATCTGTTCTCTTTTGAACAGCAATTTGTATACCATATAATTTTCTCAAGTTGTATTCTTTAGAAAAAATTAAAATTTCTAATAAAATGATTTGTCACTTTCATCCTGGGAAAGTAGCAAAGATAGTAAAAGGAGTTAGAAATATAATTGTGCCACATTGAGAAGGTATATTTATCTTTTCATCTTAGAATAAAAAATTCAGTGAAATGATTAATATATAACAATCAAATGAAGTAGGTAAGAAAAAAGAACAAAGCAATATACTGTGGAAAATTAGAAAATAATAAACTTGGTTTAAGCCTGGATTTGAGTGACTTCATTTGCTTATTCAAGTAGGTAAAATTTTAGTTAGAGCCACACAGACTATAAGAATTTTATCATATCCAGTTACCATGATTTTTTGGAATTAAATTGTATAATTATAAGTGTACCTAAAAAATAAAAATTCATATAAAAATAAAAATACATATTGAAAATAAACAAGAATAAAACATCTAAAATAAAAATACATGTATAAACTTTAATATATAAGCTATACAAATATATGAGTACTGACATAGTTATACATGTATATGTCTTTGTACACACACACATACATACATACATGTATTCCTAAGAATCCTGAAAGATAAAATGGATTTTTAACATCTTTGAACAAAACTTTTAAAGACATACACAAAAGTGAAAAGAAATCTGTTACTAAAAGCCACTCCTCTGATACATGTGCCCTGACACCACTGCTCAAACACATCTTGTCCTCACAGGTCCCACCTCCGTAACACTACAGGGTGACTTGTGACCTTGCTGATTTTAAGATGTTCAATTATAAGCCAAATCTGAGAAGGTTAAAATTTACTTTGGCATAGTTGTAGGTTTCAGAATATTGCATTACATTATAGATCTTTAGCCACTGCTAATTCTTATAATGACAGGCTTCAGTTCACTACAATATCGCATTAACATGAAGCTTTCTTTTTTTTTTTTTTTTTTTTTTGCGTTTTGCGTGCCTCTCACTGTTGTGGCCTCTCCCATTTGCGGAGCACAGGCTCCAGACGCGCAGGCTCAGTGGCCATGGCTCACGGGCCCAGCCGCTCCGCGGCATGTGGGATCTTCCCGAAACGGGGCACGAACCCGCGTCTCCTGCGTCGGCAGGCGGACTCTCAAGCACTGCGCCACCAGGGAAGCCCTAACATGAAGCTTTCTTATCCTAATCACTGCAGAAATAAGAGTTTAATGACCAAGCCAATGATAAGTGTTTTGCAGTAGCACACTTTCTAAATTTCTCTTGACTCTGCTCATGTATCTCTAGCTCCCCCATTCCCACCATAGTCTAAAACACCTTACCTTACCTGGACCATTGCAATAGCCTCTCATCTACAGTCCCTATTGGGCTGCTCTAATCCATTCTCTACATTATGTCCAACTTCATCTTTACAAAATGTACATCTGCTCATAACATTCCACAGGCCTAAAACCTTTCAAGGACTTCCAATTGCCCTTATGAAGATCAAAACAGAGACCCTTCTGGTCTAGCCTTTGCCTCCCTTTTGTGTCACACCCACTGCTCTGTCACTCTCCTGCTCTTTCTGGGTTCTCAGCTTATACAGTCTTTCTTTTCATGCCTTGAGTACGTGCTATAACCACCAACTACAGCAAATTTTTTGCACATGAAGTGCCCTCTACCTGAAACAGTTTTCCCTCACTCCTACTCCCACCTTTCCTCTAGTTAATTCCTATTGATCCTTCAGATTTCAGCTTAGACAATGTGTCTTCTGTCATGTGCACTCTCAACACCACCATGTACACTTTACACAGTGACGTATTGGATTAACCTTAGTCTCTCCTACTACAATATAAGCTCCATGAGACAAAGGGATCAGGTCATGTTTTTTTGCTGGAATAAAGAATATTAGAAAGAAGTCGACACAGTGTAGTTCGCCTAAGTTCAACATGCATTCACCGAATTGTTTCTTTAAACTGTCTAAATTCTACACGCTTCTCTTAATAAAGCATATACCTTTAACAACCAAGTCTCTCATGGAAGGTTCTGAAATGATGCAAATAAAAACCATTAAATGACTTTCCATAGTGTCCTCTGAAGCTTTTGTACAAGGCTGGCCAGTAAGGAATTGTTAGACTCATGTGCTCTGTATCACTGTCTTTTAATTTAAATTTCCTTTTTAGGAGGTGTTTTTGATATCATTGGATGTGCAGAAATCTGCTCTGAATTTATATCATTTAAAATCGGCCTTAAAAGTCAGCGATTTATGAAGAACACTCACTCTATGATGGTTTACAACATTTTTCCCTCCTGAGAGAAGACCTACGCTGGGAAAAATAAAACATCCCGATTCTCATTAATGGAAACAGAGCTGAACAGACAACTGTAACTGTTGAAGGTTGCTGAAACTGCCAGGAAATTCTAAAAGCAAAAACAACGTTGGGCTGGCAGATTAATGTGCCTTTCATATACAATCCTGAAATATAAAACCATGGAATTTTCTAATGTTAATGGACATTTTTGTCGATATTTGTCTAGGCACTTTTATGCTGTATATGATAGAAGAGATTAAAAAGAGGAAAACTCACTTTACAAAGGTGGATCCCAGTGCAGAGGTATTCATAGGCTACCTCGTCAGTTTCCAACTTCTGGAGGTGTACTTGAGGCTTATTATTTTATTCACTAAAGATAATGAGCCTACATAGTTCCTCTGTTATGGAAGAATGAATCTGAATAAAATTTGCTCAACTAATTAATGCATATTTATGCCGGAGGAGTCTCAGATTGAACTTAGGCCATTCCCAAAGCCCCTCCCTTCTTCATCCACCAATCCAGTTACTGATTCAACAAATAATTATTGAGCACCTTCTAAGTGACAGGTTTTTCTACAGGAGCTCACGAGCTAGTAGGAAACATAGGAGGAGAAGCAAAACAGATATGTATGATGCAAAGCAGTAAACACTCTCCGGCAGGTAAATACACACCTGTTGGGAGCTCCTACCTAGGCATCTCTCCTGGTGAGAAGCACAAGCCTGATTTCCACACTTTCCATCCCAGCTCAGATTTGTTCAACTTTAGTCAGCTCTTCCTTCCCTAGACACCTTCAAGTGTGTGACCAGTAGCTTCAGGTAAGCCAATAATACTGCCCTGCTCAGAAAGATTCCAAACTTTGTCACCTCATTCCTACTGGAGTGTGGGCTTCATGGTGCTTCCAACATTAAGGAGTTTCATCAACAACACAGGGCATATCCAATGTCTTATAGAATGTTATTGAATTTTCAAAAAAATACTTTATGTTCACTTAAGCTTAAAAGTTAAATTCATCCTAAAAGGGAACCCTCCTACGCTGTTGGTGGGAATGTAAGTTGGTGCAGCCACTATGGAAAACAGTATGGAGGTTCCTCAGAAAACTGAAAATAGAATTACCATATGATCCAGCAATCCCACTCCTGGGCATATACCCGGACAAAACTATAATTCAAAAAGATACATGCACTCCTATGTTCATAGCAGCACTATTCACAATAGCCAAAACATGGAAACAACCTAAATGTCCATCAACAGAGGAATGGATAAAGAAGATGTGGTACGTATACACAATGGAATACTACTCAGCCATAACAAAGAATGAAATAATGCCATTTGCAGCAACATGAATGCAACTAGAGATTATCATACTATGTGAAGTAAGTCAGAAAGAGAAAGACAAAAACCATATGATATCACCTATACGTGGAATTTAAAACACGACACAAACGAACCTATCTACAAAACAGAAACTGACTCACAGACATAGGGATCAGACTCTCGGTTGCCAAATGGGAGAGTGGGGAGGGAGAGGGATGGACTGGGAATTTGGGGGTGGTAGATGCAAACTATTACATTTAGAGTGGATAAATAACAAGGTCTTACTGTATATCCAATCTCTTGGGATAAATCATAATGGAAAAGAATATTAAAAAAAAGAATGTCTGTATGTGGATAACTGAGTAACTTTTCTGTGCAGCAGAGATAGGTACAACATTGTAAATCAATTATACTTCAATAAAAAAAAATTTTTTAAAGTTATATTCATCCTACAGTACACTAGGGTAGGTGTTACAGAATCTGAAGCATGACAGTAAGCTCCTTGAAGGAAGCCTTGTATTTCTAACCAGAGCAAGCCATTTGTTAGATTGTTGAATTGACTGCCATATCTTATGAAAAAATAAGCATTTCTGAACTAGATTGTTGTTATTTTTTCTGAAATCCAAGGAACCAAGGAATCAAAGTGAATTGCTCTGTCCCTGCACAGAGTCTAAAGATTCTTCTGGCCAAGAGCACTATACCCACATGGTTCCATGGAGAACACCAACACTCAGCAAAACTGTAAAGAAAGCAAACTTCATCTGTGCCTCTCTTTACACTTCCCGTTGGTCACCTCCTTGCCTATATCCACTCATGCAACAAGATATATTTATTGAGCACCTACTATATTCCAGGCATACTTCTAGGTGCTTGGTATATATATATCACTGAAAACAAATAAACAAACTGACGTTCTACCTCTTCTCTCCATTCAAGGCCTTTTTAACGAGTACCCACCCTGTGCCTGGAACTGTGCTCAGCACTTGGGGTAGTGACTTAGAAACAGCATGGCATCTGTCCAACAGTGAAGCTGTTTGCAAATATGGTAAAATAGAAAGGGAAAATGGTGCGGTTACCATTTATCTTACCTTGTAAAGAATTGAAGATGGAGAAAAGGTACATGAAAGGGACATTCAAAGGTCCCCAGGCAAAGAAAGCAAACCCCCACGTCATGCCCAGTAGAAACGTCAGGCTGACCACACTGCGCAGGTTCCTTAGAACCTCCTCGCGTAGCGTCCGGCTGCTCCTTTTGCCATTCCTCCCGCAGATCTGCACCATCACCACAATGAACATGGCGACATTCAGGAAAAACATGAGTCCAAAATACCCGGCACAGGTCACATAAAATATGACAGGATCTTTAATCCAACAGCTTAAAGGAGAAGAGACAAGAAAGAATGAGATTTATCATCATGCCCTGTTTACCTAAGACTCCTCCTGGCTTAGTTTGGGCTTCTGCAGATTTCATAGCTGGGCCTTCCTCAAATGCCTTTAGAAAGTCACTTCGTTTTCTTGGGCCTCAGTTTTTTCCTCAATGTTTACATAGTTGTTTTTTTGTTTTTTGTTTTTTTTTGGCTTTGTTTTGGATAGTCATCCTCTTAATACCTAGTTATTTAAGTCAACAGTTAAGAAAACAAGGTGGTCTCCTGAACTCTGACTTGGCATGAAGACACTCTGTTTGGCTCACCCCAAACCATGTCTACCCCCTTTCTCTTATGCACCTGCACTCCTGAGGGTGGGAAACTTTCTCAGTCTCCGTTGTATTTAAAGGAGGGCCACGTGGACATGGTTCTACAAAATGATAATGGAAGCAGAGTCTGCTAAGGGATTTTTGACACCTATTCTTGACAGACTCAGCTGGCAAAGCCCTTATTCCTTCTTTCTGCTTCAAACATGAATGCAAGCTCTGCAGCTGTAGTCATCATCTTATGTTGAGGAAAGGAAGGCCAAGAGAGCTGTAGAATTGCTGGCCCTAACGTTTTCAACCACAAAATTAATGGCAGTTGTTGCCTTCTTCCAAATCTTATCATGTCTTATCATGTGAGAAGAGTAAGTCCTACTTATTTAAGACACACATAATTGTGGATTCCATTACTGCGGACAAAATAATTCCTATTAATATAATTGGCTTAGTTGAGGCAAGACCTTATTGTAGAACTCTGATATTCTTATGCTGACACTTCTCATACACAATTAAAAGGCTTACATCAATCATAACATCCTTATGAGATCAGGAAGGATACACTTGATATTCAGAATGATATAGATTGGAAAATAGATGAAAGTAATTTTAAAGGGAACTAAGAGTAAAATTAAAATACTGCAATTTGTAGATGCCCCAATGCCTAACTAATACTATGGAAGTTCTTAGGTACCAAAAAATATTAGAAGAATTATTTAAGACAATTAAATTCATCTTAAAATTCGAATGTAAGTGGTCATCATTTTGGTTGTGTCTTTCACCGTGGAACACAACCTTCACAAAGGCAAAAGCTGTCTTGAACATCTTTGAGTCCTATAACCTGATTCCTGGCATATAGTAAATGCTCAATTAATGAAAGTTGTTGATGGCACAACAATTTAATAAGTCGTACTTTAAAGTTCTATAAGAGTTGACTCACATACTTTTTAAGTTCCCTTATTTAGAACATATGTGTTGACTTCTACTTTTAATATATCTTATTTTAAAGGTCCCCCAGATGACACTGCTTGTCCCTGGAGCTTTCTTTCCATATGGAAGTTCCCCTAGAATCTGAAATTCCTGACCTAGATCCTTTATTTCCCACTAGTTCTCGTGGGGGCTTTGGACTGCTACTTTGGAAATATAAATGGGACGGCCAGGAGGAATGGAACAGGATTGGATACTGACTGGATATAAAATTTTTATCCATCCATGAAATGTGCACAGAAATGTGGCATCACAGTCAGGAGTAAGCTCTTTATTCATTCAGTAATTCATTCAATCAACAAATAACAATATTGAGTACCATGTACTACATAAAATATAAGAGAACTAATTGCCAAAACTGAATAGTTTAAAAATCTTAGCTTCAGTGACCTCAAAATCTGAAGGGAATTTTCCAAATTATTCAAGATCCACTCTCTCCACTTCCACACAACACTCATATTGGCACTGAATCCTTCACTGCCCGATGCTGCTACTTAACTCTCTCGAAGATGTGTGTGGTTTAAGGAGGTGGGAACATTACAGAATCTCCTCAGATAGAATAGGTCTTCTGTGTCTAGAAGATAGTATCTTATACTTATTCTGAATTCCCCCAGATGAGAAAGCACAATATTAATGTGGAAAAGCAGCTCACACAGTTCAGAGCATTCAACTGAATTCATCTGTGGTGTAGCAGAGACCTTGGCAAAGACATGCAAATACACTTTAACCTTCCAAAATAGAGGCTCACTCACTATTGGGATGGAAACTCACACTAAACTTCAGCAAACAGAGGATACATACTCATCACAAATAAATTCCCAACAAGCTTTTATTACTTACAATTCATCACCTTGTTCTTTTCCATAACTCTCTTTTCCATAAACTTCATTTTGGTTTCTGCTTGCTAGAATAATGGACACAACTAAGGCAGGCAGACCTGTTATAACAAGACCATGATAGAAACAACTTTTCTGAAGCATCTGAAGACTGCTTTATAAGACTGATAATGGCAAGGGGGAAAAAAAAGAAAGAAAACACTCCATATCATAGAATCAAATTTCTTAGAACAGGCAACTTGGTTAAAAACAACAATAAAATCCCTTTTGTGGTGTGAAACATACAACTTTAATTAGAAACAATCTAAACCTACTCTTAAATGACAGATATTTAAATATTCTGTTTGCTTACTGGTACCCACTAGAGTACCAGGACCTGATTTATACTGTATGCTGCGCCAGAAAATGTAGTTTCATTAATGACACCTGTCAGACTGCCTGAGTTCAGGTAAGAAGGTAACTACAGCTTCATTTTGCCCCTTTCTATAGAAAGAAAAGTCTTTAGAAAAAGTTGGGGGGAAAACAATGGGGACATAAAGTCTTTATAGTATTTTCTCTCAAGAGAACCAATATAGTATTTCCATGTATATTTCAGTGGGGAAACGCTATACCACCTGAATTCCCTGAAAGGTGCTTTCATTGCCTCCTAAGGTGGTACTGAACACCTTGGAAACATCTCATTTCTACATGGCTATCTGAAAAAGAGATTTGTGAGAAAGCTCTAAAATGCCTGGCCCAATACAAAACCCAGATAAAGGAGCCCAATGAGAAGACTGCAAACAGGCTAACACAGCTGTCCATGTGTGGCTGAGGAATCATGGTAAGAAGCTCAAAGCAAGAATTCTGTCAGTATTCTGGTTGCACACACAAAAATAACCTTCTTGCTCAGGTTTCCAAGACATGGGCATGTGTTTAGGGCGAGTAGAGTTAGGAGTCTGAGCTGGCCTTTCTATTTTGAAATATAATAGAAATGCACCACTGTCTGCCAGCTGCCTCTTCAGACTTGCGTGGGCTTGCTCTGGACACAGGAAATAAGGTGGTGGTGACTCAGGAGAGCAAGGGTTTTTTCCCTTTACTCCTGACTTTAGTGAAGAATGTTGAACAGTTTTTAAAAACACCGTTCTGAGGAAGCCCCTTCCTTAGGTTATGTATATCACATCCACATTATTCACAATTTTGAAGTTTCTTTTAGCAGTGCTATTCTTTAAAAATAGGATTTTCCTATGAGAACCTAGTGATTTCCATGATGGAAAAAAAGAAAACAAAATTTAGGAGGCTTACCCCAGCCAATGATGCAGAATTTCAGTATGTATCGGCGAATGTAAGTGTTAAATACTTTAACCAGAGCAATGTACATATGAATCGCTTCTAGCCCCATCCAGGTAAAGGTAGCTAGAAGGAAGAAATGCAGCAGGGCTGCAATGGCCGTGCAAAGTCCATCCACATGAAACGAGGTGATCCAGCCATCCAGGAGGAAGAGGAGATTCAGGAACAGCAGGGCTGTACTCAGGTTCATCAAGATTTTGGAGGGATAATCCCTTCGTAATTTTCTTAAAAAGGACAAAAGAGAGATATACGAGAATAATATTGTAAATAAATCTTTTAAGCACAGGCAGTAAATTCGTATCTTATGCGGCTCTGCAATAGCCTAGGTAGTACCATCTTTATGACATGGTTCCACTAGGAGGAGGGCTAAAGATATAGGAGTATTTGGCAAATTATAAAGACTTTTTTAAATACTAATTTTATTTCAAAACGGTTTCCAAAATTTCTAATTAATTGGTTACAACAGATTGATTTTTTTGTTTTGTTTTGTTTTGTTTTGTTTTGCGGTACACGGGCCTCTCAGTGTTGTGGCCTCCTCCGCTGCGGAGCACAGGCTCCGGATGCGCAGGCTCAGCGGCCATGGCTCATGGGCCCAGCTGCTCCGCGGCATGTGGGATCTTCCCGGACCGGGGCATGAACCCGTGTCCCCTGCATCGGCAGGAGAACTCTCAACCACTGTGCCACCAGGGAAGCCCAGATTGATTTTTTTAATCCAGGAAAAATTTTAGATTTATAAAAAATGATATCTTTGTTGAAAAACAATTTCCCTAAAATTTGTTGAAGTTTCTTGATTTTTAATAAGGTCAGGATCCTTTTTTTAAAAAAAATTCCTGTTTCAAAACCAATTTTATAAGATTTGTGAAGCAAATGTTTTCATCTTTTACCATGTAAAGAGCATTTCATACAACTGTTATTTACTTAAATGCTAATCATCTCTAACAGGCTTAAATACATTTTAAATAGAAATATAGTAACTATAAATTAAGATTCTAAAGGTGGGAAATTCATGATATATCTTATAAGAAATCTGAACATTAAAACTGAACCACTGTACGTAATTCACAAAGTGTATATGTGTTTTTAAAAGCTGAGGCAATTCTCTTATTCACATTCTGGGACAGTTAGCTCTGGATTTGGCAGATAGAAAAAGAAAATACTTACTCAAAAGCCACATATGTCAGGAGGGTAGCTGCTGAAAAAATAGCAGATATTCCACACCCAATATTGGTAATGAAGGTGAGGACTTTAGTGTTTTTTGCATCCAACTGTGAGGCAGTTCCTTGAAGGTCCTACCAAAAACATGAGAAGCAGTTGTAAGAATCTCTCTTTTCATGAAAACGGTGTTTTGTTTTATTAGAAAGGTCACGGATAGCACTTAGAATCTCAGCTCAGTCTTAGGGGCTAAAAACAACAGTGTAAATCAGGACACGCGTACCTCGTTTTATTGTGCTTCCCTTCATTGTACTTTGCAGATACTGCATTTTTTACAAACTGAAGGTTTGTGGCAACTCTGAGTCAAGCCATTTTTCTAACAGCATCTGCTCACTTCGGGTCTCTGTGTCATACTTTGGTAATTTTCACAATATTTCAAACTTTTTCATTATTATTATATTTGTTATGGTGACCTGTGATCAGTGACCTGTGATGTTACTGCTATGATTCACTGAAGCTCAGATGATGGTTAGCATTTTTTAGAGCAATAAAAATTTTTTAATTAAGGTATCTACATTGCTTTTTTAGAGATAATGCTATTGCACATTAACAGACTATAGTATAGTATAAACATAACTTTTATATGCACTGGGAAACCCCAAAATTCGTGTGACTCATTTTCTCTCAATATTTGCTTTATTGCAGTGGTCTGGAACTGAACCCACAAAAAAATCTTTGAGGTATGCCTGTACTGGAATTTCCGTTTATTGCACTCTTGTGGATCACTCCATGAAACAAAAATGTAGCATTATTTGAGAGAGTTGCACATGTTTTTTTTTTTATCATTACCCTGTTACCCAAGCTCTTTGCACATCAGTATAACTAGAAGAGCAAAACCACTGGGGCCCTAACAAACTGGAGAGGAGGTCATTGTCTTGCATAATAAATGACCAGACCCTTCCTATCGTTTGCAAGGCTAGGGACACAAGTGAAAATGGAGGCCACCGTGGCCCTGTGACCAAGCCTTTACGTGGGCCCTGGGTTCTTTGATTGGTAGGGAGGGGCTCAGCCGAGACAGCCAGAGGCTGGTGCTGGTGTGTGGCTGCCCAGTCAGAGAATAGTGCAGAGGCTCTTACTGTGGTCATTTCAGAGCTAGGTATGTATCAGGTGGGGTGGTGTCTGTTTTTTTGTTTTTTTTTTGTTTTTTTTTTGTTTTTTCATAAATGAGAAGCCACCAAGAGTTTGGGGGTCATAGTTTTTTGATACCTATAGACCTGAAAGGGTGCCACTTAAAAGTGTTAGGGGTTGTTGTGAGGGGAAAAAGTAAACATTTTCTAGCATGTGAATACTGAAGCCTTAATTTTAATTTCACTGTGCAGAGGGAGGCAGACTTGCAAAGTCCAGGCCTGGTAGGAAAATCTTTCTTTTCTTCCTTAAATGTAGAATTGGGTTAGGGATAAATCTTGAATGAAGACCAACCACTCAAACCTTGGTTGGAGGAGAAAGACATCTCCATTATGCAGATGTTTGAAAACGGAGCCTTCTTGGAGAAGGGACATATTCCAAAAGGAATATCTGGTTTAAACTTTTAGGTCTCAAACTACGAAAAAAGTTTGTGTTATAAGTTTTCATTCTATAATGTTAACTTTCTTTACTTTTCACCAAAATGTCAATAAAATCTGCTACTGACACAAAGACCTCCAGGAAGTGGTATCTGTATGAGTGTATTCATGAGACAGGGCTCAGTTCCAGGTTTCGCTGAGGCAGGGAGGAGCTGGTAACAGGTTCCCTGTAACACCAAGAAATGCACAAAGTGATGGAATTCAGTGGGCGCGGAGACTCAGGTCAGAGAGGACCGTCCCTATCCTCCAGGAATCCCTCAAAACACTGGGAGGAAGTGGGACTCCCACGGCACAAGGGATGGGTTTTGAGTCAGTGCCTCTTGACTCACTGGTAGCTTTTACCCCGACCAACATTTTGGTTACTCCAGGATTTGACGAGGTCAGAGAAATACCTTGGGAACCTCCAAAGGACTTGTCATTACCTCTTGAAAAACCTACGGCTCCCATTTAGATGAGGCAGTATACTTGCAAGTCACAATTAAAGCCACAATTTAAAATGTAAATTGAAAAAAATAATACTGTTCACGGTTATACATTTACACACAGTTCTCATGCTGTTTTATACTTTAGGAGAATGAAGAATATGAAAATATTGATTACTCTGATTTAGCCAACATGAGAATGTACTAATGTTAAAAATATGAAAATCAGTTTTACTACAAATAAATGTAGCAGAGGATATGAAATTTTTCATACATTTGTAGATTAGAAGATATAATTATGAATCTGGGGTATGTTTTTAAATTTCTCATGTGGTGAATGTGTCATGGAGCAAGGTAGACTCTGGGAATATCTTACACAAGTGAATACAGCGTTTATACATCAAGAAAGACTCTTAACAAGGTTGTGGTGGTCTGGAAAAGCTGAAAGGATATGGGCACATCACCAGAAAAGATAAATTCTGGGAAGTTTTTCTTCCAGAAGTTTAGAATCTTATAAAAGCAGCCACAGTGGAAAATGGAAAAATAGCACTGAAAAATGCACATATCCATATACATGTAAACTAATTATTTAATCAAGTGACAACCGAAAAAGTAATATATAATTACAAATTCATAACAAAATTTAAACAATATTTGGAAAAACTAACCATTCAAAGTAACAGGAAGCCAAACTTTGGTTACTTATAGGTCACCTCTGAATAGTGACTGTGTTACTGTTATCTATTTATCTAATATTAGACTTATGATACACACTATCATGCTCAAACACACATGCAGTTGAAATAATTCAATGAATTAAGCTAAATCTTACATACCTGAAAGATTAATGATGCAAAATAAGTGTTTTATGAAAGAATGATGCTGTCACTTTTCAGAAAAAAGAGAATATGGAAGAAAACTGAGGGTTTTATTTTTAATTACTTAGGGAAAACATGCTATAGTTTAATTGTTCATTTTCATGGTCTGGCAGTAAATGAAAACATTTATATTTTGGGAAAGTTAAGTTATTTTTTATGACTGTCCTTTTTTTTTTTTTTTACTGTTTTTTTTCCCCAGCTTTATTGATATATAATTGGTAAAGAAACAATTGCACATAATTAATGTATACAATTTGGTGAGTTTGAACTTATGTATACACTTGTGTTAACATCACCACAATCCAGGTAATAAATATATCCATCGCCTCCACAAGTGTCTTGTGTTCCTTTTTCATTTGCTTTTGTTTCTGAGGTAAGAAAACTTAACATGAAATCTACCCTCCTAACAAAATTTTAAGTGTGCAATACCGTATTGTTAACTATTTTATATAGCAGATCTCTGGAACTTACTCCCCTTGTATAACTGTAACTTTATATACTCATTAAACAACTCCCCATATATCCCTCCCTCCATCCCCTGATAACCATCGTTCTATTGTCTACTTCTATACCTTTGACTATTTTAGATGCCTCAAGTAAGAGGAATCATGCAGTATTTGTATGACTGTCCTCTTTTTAAATGACTTGGTCTTATCCCTCAGAGCTTTAAGTACTGGACTGTCAGGAAAAATACAACGTGCACGGTTGCTTATATGACAATGGCCATTTACATAGGCCAGGTAGATCCATGAGCCAATCACTGCATCCCACAGTTCCTTGCTGTTTCCTTCCAGTGCCACAGGAAGTAGCTGTAAGATTTAAGGGACGGGATAAACATATCTTGATGTCTGTGATTCGAATTCGAAAAGCTTTATTGCCTCAGTACACATTACTCCCATCTCCAACTAAAAAACAAATTTGGTTTGATCCCGCTTATGGAAACTATACAGAAACAATGGCTCTGTTATGATCTGGAGGGTGTACTTCGCACCAGGAAAGTGTCTGGAGACACACAAGCATATCAGGTTATAAGGTAAAAGGTGTAAGTCTGTGGATGTAGTCGCACAAGTTGCTGGTTGTAAGGTGGCTCTTGAAAATTTGGTGGGCTGAAAAAACAAATCAACGCAATCTAATTTCTGCTTAAAACTGTAGAACAGGCTGGCTAATGAGATAAAACTAGGGCCAAGGGAAAGAAGGCATGAAGAAAGAAAGGAAAGAATGATGAAGGCCTAGTGGTGAGTGAAACGTAACACCCATCATCTCCATTGCAGGCTTGAAGCCTCTGTGCTATCCTAGTCACTAGTCTAGCCTAAAAGGCTGTGATCTCTAGAGAGGGATTGCAGTCATTTGGGGGTAACAATTGGATCACCAAGCACAGTACCTGGTACAAAGTAACATTCAAACATACAAGTGATAACATATTATAAGAAAGACAGTTTTTGATGAAATTTTTCATAGCACCCTTCCATGTTAGTAAAACCCGACATTTTCTTCCTCTTTAACTTTTCTGTCTCTCCCTCCCTCCCTCTCTCTCCATCTCCCTAACTCTGTTTATCTCTTAATTCAAGGGTTTCATGGTGATTTTCTTGTTTCTGGGATTATTTATCATTACCGTTAAAGCCAAAGGAAAAAAAACAGTAAGATTCGTCTCTATACTTATCTTGCACTTTTTAAATATATGATCTCTCTCAACGGATTCTTCATCAAGAATCAAGATTCAGGATACGCTTGAAAATTATCAGGAAAAAAACTCCCCAAACACGTAATCTAAAAAGGTGGACTCACAAAAAGAAATATGCCTTCCAAAATTATGTCATTTCAAAATGTGTTTAGATGTTCCTCCCCTACCATCAGAATCCCAAAGTGGGTCAGGTGGTTACACAGGCAGACCGTCTCGCTGGCGTCTGAATCTTTGTGTGCGACACATCCTGAAGTGTTCCAAAATCCAGAACCTTCTGAAGGAGGAAGTCAACAAACAGTGTGAAAATAACAGCAGGAATAACATTCCTTCTCTGTAATGGATGAGCTTTCCCTTGGGGAAATATGCCTCAGACTCTTCTGCTTTGCAGTTTGTCTGTAACATGGATACTATCCTGAAAGTTGCTAGTACACAAAATAATTTCAATTCCTGGGATCATAGAATGTTAGTGCTAGGTGGTCAGTCAGAGATTAGGTGGTGGTTTTCACCTGTGTTCTACTGAAGTGTTTCAGGGGTCTGCGAAAAATTCAGTTTTTACATTTTAATACATTTTAATATTTTAACATGTATTTTACTTATTTAAGTATATTTATAGACATATTTATTTAATAGATTATATGTAATATAAATATATATTTAACATAAATATATTAATATATTAATTGATATATTATTTATTTAATATATATATATATATATTTTTTTTTTTTTCTTGCGTTATGCGGGCCTCTCACTGTTGTGGCCTCTCCCATTTGCGGAGCACAGGCTCCGGATGCGCAGGCTCAGTGGCCATGGCTCACGGGCCCAGCCGCTCCGCGGCATGTGGGATCTTCCCGAAACGGGGCACGAACCCGCGTCTCCTGCATCGGCAGGCGGACTCTCAAGCACTGCGCCACCAGGGAAGCCCTATTTAATATATTTTAAAGTCAACTTCCATAAAAAGAATATCCCTTTTCAAATATGTTATAGACTAACAAAGTCTCTAGAGATCAGCACAATTTTTTACCCCCTTGGTCAATCTATATCTCTGTGAAGACATGAGAACAAAGAAGTTCAGCTTCCTTGGAACATGCTACTATGTACAAAGCAGCACAGAGACAACTTACTATAAATGCCTTTAACACATCTTATCTGACTTTTACGGTATGCTATGGAATATGAACAACTCATATATTTGAAGAGTATTTGAAGACTACAAGGTGATATCATTTTTAACTATGTAGCTAGTAAATCAGGATCTTCTCAAAACTGCAACTAGAAACCAAACAACAACAAAAACTTCCCAGCTAAGATAGGAGTATCAAAAAAAGAGGTTTGGGACAACTTCAGGCTACAGTTCTGAGGAGCAGCCTGCACTGGCGCTTGTTTGATTGGGCCACCATAATCCCACTGGGGAACCCCAAGGGAAGGTGACCCTTATAGGGCAGAGGTGGGCGGTTTTGCCACTTCCCTTCCCTTCACAGACATCTCCACACTTCACACCTAGTGATTACCCTTAATTCTGCCTTTCTCTCTTGACTGTCAAATGTCATTCTGGAGGCAGTTCAATTCTTTCAAGTAACATGTATCCATTATAACCATTCCTAGAGTTACAATCCTCTAATATGATTTCCCCCCATAATCTGTGGTCTGGAAGCTGGATTTTAAATTGCAGGCCTTATGCACATCAAATACTCTCCTCAGAAGTGTCCTAGAAGAATGTGGTCAAATGTATATTGACATTCATCTAAAAGTAGCAATAAAAACGTATGCTATAGTTTATAAATAACTGAAATCAGACGTGCTTTGTTTAAAAAAAAAGTCAAGTCTGCCTATTTCTTCTTGCAATGAAGAAAAAGTTACAGAAATTAGAATTCACTTCTCAAGCTACCTAAACTAAATTTTGCAGCTCAGTTGCCCTCACACTTACATTGTGACTCACTCTGATTTGGGATGGAATTAAAGAAAACGGGGGTGTCTAACAATGTTGAAAATTCAGTTGTTATTAAGACAGCCAACATTTTAGAACGTACCGTTTTTGTTCAGATCCCAGAAGGCACAGATGGGACGAGGCACAGCCTATATTAACATAAGAACAAACATGTGAAACTGTGTTTCAAATAAATGAAAAATCATACAATTTGAACATGGGAAAAGAGTAAAAATGCTAAGGTTTTCACAAAGAAATAGGTCATAATTAGGTCATAATTAGTCACGGCAATATGACCAAAGAACAGCAGGCAGCTTAGGGGTTTTGCTCTCACAGACTTCAAATGGAAATCAACTACAACTGCAGAGGGATCAGGTTACCATTTATCTGCAGGTTACTAATTATGTCTCATCATAAAGTGCAATTCTCAGCATTTAGCAAGGCTCTTTACACTAAAATTTCACTTCATCTTCAAAACTCTCCTTTATGACTAGGTATATGCCCAAAAGAACTGAAAGCAGGGACTCAAACAGATATTTGTACAACCATGCTCACAGCAGCATTATTCACAATAGCCAAAGGTGGAAACAGCCAAAGTACCCATCAATGAATGAATGGATAAACAAAATGTGTGTGTGTGTGTGCATGCGTGTGTGTGTGTGTGTGTGTGTGTGTGTGTGTATGTGTATGCAATGGAATATTACCCAGGCTTAAAAAGGAAGGAAATTCTGACACATGCTATAATATGGATGGAACTTGAAAATACCAAGTGAAATAAGCCAGTCACAAAAGGACAAATACTGCATGATTCCACTTATATGAGATACCAGAGTAGTCAAATTCATGGAGACAGTAGAATGGCAGTTTCCAGGGGTTGCGGGAGGGGCGACGGGAGTTGTTTCATGGGGACATAGTTTCAGTTGGGGAAGATGAATAAGTTCTGGAGATGGATGTAGTGATGGTTGCAGAACAACGTGAATGTATTTAATTCCACAGAACTATACACTTAAAAATGGTTAAAATAGTAAATTTTATGTTATGTATATTTTACCACAATAAAAATTTTTTTATAGATGAAGGATCTGAAACAAAGGAGGCCAAAGGGTAGAACAGGGAAGTCTCAGAGGTTTCGTGACAAAGCAGGGCTAATTCTTAGAGGACTTCAGTTCCAAGCCTTAGTCCTTATCAGCCAGCTCACTTCCTGCCTGCCTTCCTGCCTGCCTAATGGTCAAATCATGACTGGGAACGTCTATAAATCAGGGGAAAACTGTGGTTGGGCCATTTAAGACAATAAGAACCCCACATAATTTTATCAAATAAACAGATGACAGCAAGGGTAATGAAGCAAAAAAAAAAAAAAAGCACAACATTTGCCAAGATTTTAGACAACTGCTAAGCTCCCCAAAAATGTCAACTCTCTTCTGTTTCTCCCATTTCCCTTCTGCTTTCCTAGTTTCAGTAATCTCTGACTTTAAAAAGACAACCAAAACCTTTAATGACACAACTGTGCGTCTACATCTAAGTTAGCTGAAGTAATTATACGTTGTTTCTCAAAAGGTGTGACTCTTTCCTTCACTCTTACTCTCCTTCAGATGACTGAATCCTAGACAAGACTTAACTCCCCCCATCCCACCCCTGCCCTGCCGCCACTGTTCACCAGGACATTACGGCACTACCTGACTAGCTGGTCTCGCCTTTGTGGAAAACTGCCCCCTGCAAAAAAAGTACTAGTTACTTCTAATCATATATTTTTAAAAAGGCCCCACAATTCTATCAAACAGTCTGCCTCTGTTCCATGGCTATTTGTAGCTTTTCCTTACCTGAGTCCTTGTATGTTTGATTTTAATTCGAACAGGATCCTTCAGATCCTGGATAGTAATGTTTCCAATACTGCATGCCATCACATAACTCACTAAGGTGCCTTTCTTGGTTCCTACATCCTTTTAAAGAAAAAAAAAATTGTGTATTAGTCAGAAGTACACACTTTTATTTTATTTTGGTGCTCCAAAATAAGCAATCTGTCAGCACTTTTTACACTTAAGATCTTCAGTTATAGAACATCCTGTTTATAAGATCAAATTGCTAGCTTTCCTGAAAGAGCTCTGCTATTTCCCTTATTACAATAAATACATTGAGGGAACAGTATGAACCAATGCTGTAAGGCGATGTTCATAAAACTTCATTCTTCACTGTTGTGGCTGATGCCAGCCAGTTAAAATCTGAAACAATGCAAACCCACAAATAATACACACTCATAAAAAGCTATGAAATAATTAGATCATTTCCCTATCCTAAAAAATAAATGAAGTTGTTTTCCTTCAGAGAACTACCAAGGAAATATGGTGTGAAAAATAAAAATCAATTCATCTGTCATGTCCATGACAACAACCTGAGTGTTTACTAACGTAAACCTAAATGTAATTCTACTGGATTAAAGCCCCACCAGAACTTTTACCATCTCTGGCTGCACACTTGCTGGCATCTGTAGCTTCCACTTCAAAGATAAGGATGTCAGGAAATCAAATTAGTGAATCTGTGCTGCAAAATGACTGGGACCAGTAGACTGTTTCTCCAGCAAGACCATCATCACTTTCTCCTCCCCTCTGTGTTTCCTGTTGAGCCTCCTGAATTTCTCTACCACAGCTTATAAATCAGCTGTTTTGGAATAATACAGGATTCCTTAAATGCTACCTAGCTCTCAGCATCCCGAATATAGTTTTTTATTACATTTGTGTGGTCTCTCTCAATAAAGTGGCTATGGCTTGGGGATACCCAGCCTTTCCTTTAAAAATACTCTTATGCTGTTCCCTGTGTGAGGGGAGTACCATAGAACCCTTACATTTTTTTCACTCTGCCATAAATTTACTTTAAAAACCAAACATATGTTTCCTAATAATGTCGCTGATTGGGAGATGCCAAAGGAGAAAGAAATGATTGCGTGAGAAGATGAGACTCAAAATGAAACTGTGACAGATTCTTACAAAGCTAAGACTTCTCCCAACTCCTCTGGCTGGGCTCCACCTCTCCTCTCAATGGCCCCTTCCCTGCCATTCACATCATCTAACACCTACTACATTTTTCGTATTATTATTATTATTTTGGCTTCATTGTACAGCATGCAGGATCTTAGTTCCCCAACCAGGGAACCCTCTGCCCCCTGCAGTGGAAGCGCCGAGTCTTAACCACTGGACTGCCAGGGAAGTCCTCTTGCATTATTTTTAAAGGCGACATTGTTATAAGCCTCAGATAACTTTAACAAATGCAGTTTTACGTGTTTGTAGCTATTAAATCCTTCAGAGCAATTGCATGTAATTACATTCTTAATCTGCTCAAAAATTTTATATAGCTTGTTCTTAAAGCATTTGCTGATAACATTTAAAAATTTTTGAGTTAATGACTGTAAATGATTCCATGGTCCTCCTTTTACTTCCCTGTAGCCTCCTTTGCCATTCCTCTAAACATGACGTATGGTGCAAGTCTTTTAAAAACATTTCTACTGGCTTTGAAACTTGCAGTTCTCTCTTGCATAAGTCACACTGTTTGATATACATAGGTATCTTCAGTTTAATAGGTAACTTTTATTGAAAGCGCTCAGTGAAACTGCTCAGAACGAGTTGTACTTTCAAAGGCAACCAGAGGTCACCAGTGTTTGCTGGCAGGGGACTTTCTAGTATCTGGAAATGATGCCAATAAAAACGATAATATGTGCTCAGCACAATGCCACCCTACTCAGGGGATGTGGGAAGGCCAAAGGTCATTTGAAATACTAATGGGAAAACTGATTAAAGCCAAGAATGCTGCTCATTATGTAAACAGTGCTTCCTGCTG